TCACCTGGTCCAGCCCTAACTATATGCTTTAGCAAAAAGGAAAGTTTGAAGCCTAATCTTAAAGGGTAGGTAGAGAAACACCTGGCCGAGCGTGCAGGAGGCAGCGCACATGATGGCCGGCCGTTAGCAGCGACTGTCTGGGACGGTTAGCATTAGCTGCCAGGTTAAAGACTGGAGAATTTAACGGTTGGAAACGTAAACACGCGCAGCTTCTTTGGACAAAGTTGAGAGCTGCTGTGCATGTACCATTATTACCAAAGGCTGACCCTCGTGTTCTACTGGAGGTCTCTTCCTGTTAAAAGAGTGTTCTTCCTCCCCACCATCACCATCATCACCAAGTACTGCTCACAGAGCCCAGTGATCACATGAGCCTCTCTAATATTTAGGATCTTTACACTTCAGTATAAAGGTCCTTCAGATAAGTGTTGTGTAATAATAATATGAGGAACAGATTGTTCTTGGTTTTCTTCTACTTTCATTATTTTAGCATCGTTCGCATCGATTTATAAAGTAAGGCTGAAGAAATGTACTGCTTTCCAGTAAGGAAGCTTTGGATCCAGCGTTACTGGACCACTTCACAAACCTGACAACATTTGCTTTTAATCTATTTTCAGGCCTCCGACAATCAATGATCAGAACAGATGCCGATTACGTTTCCGTCGATCAATAAATTGATTATTCGGCCGATTGTTTCAGCTCGACTCTGGATGTTTCCAAACAAGAGAGGGAGTGAAAACGTGGGGCGGAGAAGAGGAGGACTCTAATTAAAATAACATGTGGTTGTTATGGTGCTGCAGAGGGGGGAGGCGGGAGGGGGAGGAGGGATAAACAGGAGCACACGGGCTGTGGTTTTGGGGACAGTGGCCCTGCAGGACTCCAGGCCTGGAGCCAGTCAACCAAAGAGGAGGAGGGGAAACAGAGGGAGGGCGGAGGAGGCCAAAACCCTCCAAACCATATAAAAGGAGGGGGTAGGGCTCCTTTGCTCCTCCTTCAGAGGAGTAGTGGTGAACCTTCAAACGGTTCTGCGGTTCCTGGAGGAGAGCGTTTTGTCTTCAAACTCTTGTTGATGTGAAAGAAGTCTTTTGTTTCACTTTGTTTCTACATTCTGTGCTTTTATTCTGAAGTCTTCATTAAAAAGGAAGAAATGTCAAACGAGGCAGAATCCTCCAGTACCAGTGTTTTGATGCCCCGACGTCAGAAACAGCTGAGCCCAGAGGTGTCGTGTTTTCAGGTGTCCGTTTGTCCCATTCTTGAGATACTTAAACATGGCAAAAAAAATTACTTGAACTCGAAGATGGAGGGTAAGATTTTCATGGTCAAAGGTCACTGTGAGCTCACAATATTCAAGAATTCAGACACTACCTGACAAACTGTCACACATCGTTTTTGGTGCAAAACGGAAAACTTAAAAACAGAAAACTGACAGATGCTGTATCCTGTCCAGATCAGAGGAAACTGATCTCCTTCCTTTCAATATAAAATCACTTATTATAAAAACACATCTACATGCTAGCATGTCATAGCTGACAGAAGGGAACTGCTGCCAGAACGCAGTCGGAGGAACTGATCCGAGGAGGAGGTGTCGACAGTTTGGATCACAGCAGGTACCGACAAGGTTCAGAATGAACCCAATACTGTGTTCGAGTGGTGCGTATTAAATAAATGAGCTGACACATGACCAGATCCGCCGTCCGAGAAGAAACTAGGCAACTTGGTGAAACTATTCTGAAAACGAGCCCACGTGGAGCTGCTAGCGCCTGGCCAAACCTCGCTGCTGTGGTTAAAGCTGTTATTCTTAAAGATTCTTAAAGTAGTAACGGGTGAACTGGAAATGGATCAAAATGATAAAATTCATTATTTTTCCCTAATATCTAATCATGATTAAGTGATTTTACCAAAAATATTTAAAAATAAGTAAATACAAGAAAAAACATAAAAGTTTTCTCCAAATGCTGCTCATCCCGTCTGAAGAGAAAACTTGGTCTGAATCAAACTGATTTTGGAGACTGAGCTCTGATAGCTGTGGTGGAGCAGCTGGTTTACTGACTGGAAGGTTAAAGTTTCTTTACTTGAAATGAAATGACAGTGTGTGCAGGTACAGCAGAATAAACCTGTAGCCTGAGAGTGCTCCCTTTATCGTCCACCTATGAGCACAGAGCGCTCTGCCAGCTGTTGGAGTTTTTTCCTGCCACTCAGCTGTGAACAATGTGGACACGACAAAGCGGAAAAAGGAATGATGCTGCCGCTGTGACTGCTGTGAAATGGAGCAGACGGCCAGTTTTATATTTGCTAATACCCATTTCCTTTCCTTTCCTGCAGCTTGCTAGCTGGAGTCTCCGTCCCCAAAACGCATGACAAGCAAAATTACCTCCGACACACCATCATCGAAACAGACGCAATCCTGTGTCGCTTTATATGCAAAAAACACGAGTCAGGGTGGGAACGTCACTGAGTCGCAGCAACATGACAACGTGCGTGATCTGGAAACGACACGATAACATCTGCAGCAGGTAAACTGGTAACACACACACACACACACAGAAAGAGAGCAACAAGCAGCGAGAGCAGCTTCAAAGATCTCTCTGCAGTCAAAGTGACGCCAAGTTAACATCAAACGGCTGAAAAACTGCCACACACACACACAC